TGCGGTGCGGTGCGGTGCGGTGCGGTGCGGTGGTGAGTGCGCAGTGCCCGGCCGTCGCGGTACCTTGCCGTTGGCGTTCGCTTACGCCTCCGCCAAAATCCAATCAGCGCAGCGATGATGAGGCGGCCAGCAGTCTCGCTCTCGCGGCGGAAGTTTGACTGTTGCGAGCGGGTCGGCGCACTCGTCTGCTGCCTTCTGGACAACTTCGGTACAGGTACCAGCAACGATTGAGACTTTGAAGTCTGTTCGCCGCTCCGAAGGCGCGTGATCGCACGCGCGTATGAATGTGTATTGATATAGCGACCAAGGCGGTCGTCGTGTTTCAGCCCCGCCTACGAGGATCAAATATGAATCAGTTTCTGATTTGCGTTCGAGTCGCCGTTGCTTTTTGAGGGACGGTTTGTTGAGTTGCGATGGCGGAAATAGCCCATATGAGTTGAGATTCGATGAGTCCTCGTGCGGAGCAAAGCACACGAGAGGTGTGATGACCGATAAGCTGGATCGTCTGCTCTAGCTGTGCCGATAAACGTGTGCCCCTCTGCTCTTGTCTGCGCAGGCGTGCAAAGTGGAAGCGGGAGGCTGGGAGCGGTTCATTTGCGGTGCCCACTCGGTTGAGGCGCTTCGGGTCGTTCCTCTTTGCGCCATTCAAGCGGGAACTAGAATCCGCCGCTTCGAAGACTCGACGACTTGTGACTGTGACTAGGTTGGGCAGAGGCAGCAATGGTTGTGGGTAAGTACACTGACTGTAGGATGTGGACCATCCTGGTTGCGGTCCTACACGAGATGTCTACCCGAGATGACACGCAGATGCTTGTTGCCCTGCTCACACTCATGAATCGTCAAAGCGGAGTCACGACTTGACCTGCACTCACGACTCACGACTTGTGACTCTTCTGTGCGCTCGACATGCACATGAGATCGCAGCACAGTCAGCATCCAGGCAGCGATCAGCGACTAAATCACCAATGTGAACGTGAATCTCTGCGTAGCTTGGCAGGTGGAGGGGCCCGCGCGCCTTGCTGCTGACGCGAGCGGCGCGCGCTGCAGCGTGGGAATCGGTGACGACAGGGTGCGTGCAGTCGCCCGCAAGAGCTCGATCAGCTTACGCAAGCCACGTGGTCCTCGCGGTCTGTTGCCGGGGTCACGTGTTTTACCTGCCTCCTTCGACTTATCATCAACCATATCCACGATTCAGTTGAGTGATTCGTGATTCGTGATTCATGATTCTGATTGACTTTTGATTTAAACCCGTTGACTCTTGACTGTTCTTCTGATCAGAATCTGACTCGTGACTGCAGACTCTTAGCCTTCTAGTGCATATTTCGTCGTTCGTCGTGTACACAGACCCGATGAGCGAGTGCAGACTCTGGGACATCGGCAAACCATTGATTCAGATTCATGATTGGTGATTCAATCGTTGCTCCCACGAAGGCCTATGACAACGTGAGACTCTCACTTCGCCTTGTTCTGGGATCGAACCAACGCATCAAGCTCTGTAAGAGCGAGGGAAAGATATGGACGACTTGCAGTAAGGCGTTGTGTTCAATCACTCCGCCAGGGCTCGAAACTTATCGTGGTCTCGGGAAAAATCTGGCTCAGCGTAGAATGAGTCAAGGTTAGTTGTGCAGTTCCAAGCCGTCGCACACGGGTCGCGTGGAGTCAATCAAATCGCTCAGACATTTTCGACAGACTGGTTACGCAAGTATTTGCGCTATCTCCGAGGTGATTTCTGGCCATGCGTCCCGAAGCAGTCAGCCTCGATTCATGCAGCAGTTGCGTGAGCAATGTGCAACGACCTCGTGGTCTTCGTCGGCGCATCCGCCTGACCCTTAGAGTCTGGCCTCTAAGGCAAGAAGAATGTTGCCTCTTCAGGCACACAAAATCGTGCGGACCGCGTGGGCCATCATGCAGTGACTCGCTGGACTCCTGATATATTCGATTTGATGGAAAAGCGCGGGTCGTTTGCGAGTGGGTGAAGTAGGGCAAGAACATTCTAGCCATTTTGAATTTCACCTCGCTTCGCGCTATGTGCGCTGGCCTGCAGAGCTCACCGCTAGACGACTTGGCCCATGAGTAGCAAGTGGGAGTCACGAGTGCTCTAGCTGCTGACGCGATGGTCTGTGTGCCAGCTCGAAGTCGCTGGACCGGGAGTCGCGAGTGCAGTAAGGGCGCCAGGATCCCGCGCGGTGCGTTTGCGCTCACCCCCTCGGCGCGCCAAGAACGCGCGGGCGCGCATGCAGAGGTGTTGCTCTCCGACGTGAGGCTATTATTATTCACATTGTGAGTGTTGATCTCCAAGCTCGTCTCTGGAGATCGAGAATTTCATCATCACGAAGCATGGCTGCTGGTCGAGCGATATGCGTGTCGTGTGCCAGGCCCTCATCGAAGCGGGTCTGCAGCGGAAAGGAACAGGATATGGGCGTCCCAAGCCACGCATGAACTCTACGTCGGCGAGGAGGGACCGCATGCAGCAACTGCAGGAGGCTCCTTAGTTCGCTGCGCCCAATCCCGAATTCTTGGAACGCGCACCAGCATCTGCTATTTTGCCTCCGCGAGGATCGTGGATGTGACTCATGTCGAACGACCTCGCTTAAATTTCATGATAAAAAAGGAGGCGATTGCTCCCAGCGTAGCCGCGCATGGTCGATCTAGGTGACTACAGACAGCAGGATCGCACGACGTGCTTCACGCCGAAATTCACTACTGCAGCGATAGTTTTAGCCTGTCATGCGTGCTACATATGGCTTCAGCCCTACTCGACGATCATTGCCAGCATCCGCTCTTCGCATGCAGCAGACATAGAAGTGTCGTGGGCCCAGCTATCTCGCTCGCGTTGGCCATTTGGCTCTCCTTCATGCACTGCAAAGGATAGCTTCTAGGCTTCGCCGTAGCGCCGAAAGTGCTTGAGCCATGCCATGGATTCATGCTGAGCAGATTTAGCGCCCTTCGATCAGAATGACCACACCTTTGGCCGCGAAGACTCGCTGCTGCCTGCCTCGGCTTCACTCATCACTGTGCGCCACGGATCTCGCATTCTTGTGTGATTGAGAACAGTCAAACGAGTCACGAGTCGGCCATGGCATGGCGACTCTTGATTGGCCTGGTCGCTTCTGAGTGGCCGCTGACATCTATGCTTGTGCAAGAGCCGCGAAACGACTTGCAACAGGCATCCGATCGCAACCACGAATCGAAGTTTGGAGTGGAGAGTCCTGGATTGCAAATGCACCAAGTACCGAATGATGAGGACAGCAGGGAGCCCATCGTCTGACGGACGCCGTAAGCGTGCTCATGAGTTCGAAATGGCGTACTATTCCGACTGTCTCGCATTGCCCCTTTGCAGGTGTCAACCGAGAGGTCCTCTCACACGCCATAGGACTGGGCTGAGTCTCGGCGAGGCTACCCGCTCGGTTCGGCGGATGTGTATTGAGTGCACCGAAGAGACTTCTGCCAGCTTTTGACTATGAGCGCCAGGAGAACTCGATCGATGTCCCTCACAAGGGTCAGGGAGAGGGTGATGCCAGAAAGGTGTTGCAGCGGAATTGCAGATGACCTCACGGTCGCGCGCAGGAGTGACCTTGCGGCCGCAGACGTCGGCACATAGATGCAAGCGATGGCATTCACAGCCGCCGGGAGACGGGACAGTCGCGATATGGTCGAGTAGTCCACGAATCGCGCACGTATCTGAAAATACCTCGCCGTCTCTTTCAAAAAGTCACCGCATGTGTGTGACCGCGGTGGTAACAGCTGCAAACAAGTTCCGCAAGCAAGCGGCCGTGTTCAGAAGCAGAAAGAGGTAGAATGGCATGACAGCTAGGAAGTAATATAGCCGCCTTGATGGCTGCGCTGCCCTGCTGGAGATTTGGCTGAGCGTCTCAGGAGCTTGCGAGTGGTTCTTACACCGCCGTGATGCGTGTCTTGCGCGGAGGTGTTGGCGCTGAACTGCGCCGACTGTCAACTCGATATGCGGCGCACAAATGCCCGGCGGGGCGGCGGGGCGGCGGAGCGGCTGTTGCATCGCTGCTGACCTCTTCGGTAGGATGCGCGCGCCAGACAGCGCTCACGCGAAGTCATTTGGCCATCGCGCCGATCACTTCAATCAAAAGTGCTCACCGCTAAGGACTCGCGCCGCTGAGGTGACCGTCTGGCCATTCAAGCTATGCCTGACGTGGCCGGGCAAGGATGACGGCATGATCGCGTGTAAAGCTGAGCTTGGATTCCCCTAGGCGTGTGATGTACGCGAGAGATTTGGCGCGCCCAAATTGCTCTCGCGTGGTCGATCAACGCCCACAAGCATCAAGGCTTCAGCCCACCGGCATTCGCATGCATATTTGGACATTGCGCGTATTCCGGCAGGAGAGCAGTGTATGTAGCACTCAGCGGCATTGCTTCGAGAGGGAACGGCGCGGCGGGTGCTTTGCTGCGTGGCGAGTTGGCGCCCACCTCGAGGCTGCATGCGTGCATGCATGCATGCAGCAGCAGAAGGGCGGGCTAGCCATGTCGGCGGGATGCCTTGCCAACTGACTGGTGACTGTCACAAGGCAGCGGTGAGGCAGGAGCGTCATGAGTGACCTGACAAGGATCGAGCGGGTCAGTGTGGCGGACAAGTCTATAAAGACAATGGATGGAATGCGCCCTCAGCCCGTTTCATTTCCCTCTCTATCCACCAACGACTACAGAAAAAGCAAAGCGAGCAAAGCTCCCTTGTCCAACAGTCGGCTCCTTTGGTTGTCCCGGCTTGACCACCTTACTCCCCCCCTCCGCCACTAATATCTCGTCTAATAGTCAAAGAACTCGGTCAGCGTCTGGACGCTCTCCCATCTTAGACTGATCAAGCAGAGGACAAACACAGCCAAACGACACCAAAGCCAAGACCGCCAATCTCACAGCTGGACTGTGATACCCTCCGCCTCCCCCTCTCCCAGACTTTCCTTCTTCACAATTGCTATTACGACTTCTTAGTCAACTCACGGCTCTTCAGCGCATCGTCTCGACACAGCTCACTCCAGTCTCTCTCAATAAGGCGTTCGTAGCCCACCTCCCTCAATTCTCGACTCGTCTTGCCTCACATCCAAAATGGCTGCCGTCCTCTCCGCATCTCACGTGGGCAACATGCCCGGCTCCGCTAAGGCGGCCGTCACACCCGTCAAGAAGGCGGCACCCTCCACCAAGGCTGCTGCGCCCGTTCGCAAAGTTCGGTGAGTGTGGTGTTCAGATGAGATGGTCGAGAAGCAGTGTCAGGGCGGCACGTAGACAAAAGAATGGCAGTGATGAGATGGGCGGCGGAAAGGACACGCGCGTCGAAGTGGACAAAGGGCCGGTGCTGCGCAGCATGTAAGCGTGGGGGAAGACAATGGGACAAGTAACGCGCGCGCAGGCTGTGTGGCTCGCTCAACCTTTGTGAAGAA